TTCAAATTTCCACAAAATTTATTTCAACTTATCACTACAGCTGTTTCGGCTGATTGCCTTTCTTAAGTGATCTATTTTTAACATGCATTTACATTTTATAGTCTCTCATGGAATAGGTTGAGGAGGGGAGAACTGTTTGTTTCAAGTTGGTCAGTCAATTTTAAATTCGTCATTAAAAGAATGATTGTGATCTAGAAGGTGAAGTGCGTATGTAGACTCTGTTTTTCTATTATTGAAAGCCCTTTTATGTTCTGCTATTCGTTTATTGAAGTTTCTACCAGTTTGTCCGATGTAAGTTTTTGGGTAGTCGCCACATTTAAGTTTGTACATACCACTGTGTAAGTGTTTTTTATTTTGGCTCTTGTTGTTTTTGATATATTTGCCTAGGTTGTTATTTGTTCGGAAAGATGGTGTTATTCCTTTCTTTTTTATGTGTTTGGCTATTTTTGTGGATATTTTGCCAGTCTATGTAATCGAGCAGAAAGTACTGGGTTTTTTCTCTGGTGGTGGAAATACTAATTTCAGGGCTTTCTTATGTAGTTTTTGATATAGCAATTTATTAATTGTTTGTTCGTTGTATCCGTTGTTTACTGCTATTTGCTTGATGATATTTAATTCTGTCTCAAAGTTGTATTTTGACATCGCAATTTCTGTTAATCTATGTAACATACTATGATAGGCTTCCAGTTTATGTTGTGTTGGATGGGATGATGAATTGTGTATAGTCGTGTCAGTACGGGTAGGTTTATGAAATATGGAGAAGTCATGTTTGTTTTTAAGTCTTATAATTCTGTGGTGCTAAGGCAAAACCCGATATGTCAAAAAAATTCAAATTTCCGTTTTGAATGCCAATAGATTATCTGAGTGGCAAAGAATATTGTGGTAAAACCCGATATGGTTCTGAAGCTCCTAAAACATTTTAGGTAAGAAAATAATATTCCGATATGTCCTTTACGTTAATATTAGTCGATGTCAAAACCCGGTATGGAGACATATCGGTTTCTGGCCTCCTTGAGCAACAACCAAGTAATTGTATAAATTTCGATATGTCTGACATAGCCGCTTCCGACACATTGTTAAATCCCATCGCAAATGGTTTTATTAGTCATTCGAATGCTCTGATGCAATATAGTTGTGCATTTGTTCAGCACGTGGTTTTTGTACACTTAAGTTTTATAGTTTGTGTTAATTATTTTCAAAATGTATGCAAGTAGGAGTCTTAAGCTGGTTAATATGCCATTAGCTGATAAGTTTTATAATTTTACAAAAAAGTTGAGATCCAATAAATTAATTTAGTAACTGTTATTATATTATTGTTATTGTATTTATTTTAGATAATCAATTGGCACATGCAGCATGTGGTGAAGAAAATGAACATAGGGAAACATTGAATGTAATGGCTGTTTCTGATGTTTTTAAGGATATGAAGACAATGAATGTACGGGCAACGTCGGATATTTTTCCAGGTTAGTACTAGCTTATTAGGGACTTATATAAAAATGATAACTTATAACTTTTTTCGTAGGATGTGGTCAATGAAAATACAACAACCATTTTATTTAATTAAATTATATTTATGTTTCGACTTACTTGATTCCGAGTCGTCTTCAGAACACGACCAGTAATATTAACAATATATATATATATATATATATATATATATATATATAATATATATATATATATATATATATATATATATATATATATGCATTAGGACTCTTTAACAGAGTTAATCAATCATAGTAACAATTATTATATTTCATTTTATCCTTGCCATACGCTATTTCTGTAATTGTAACTTTGTAAGATGGCAAGGAAGTTAAACCTTTTTTCTTGATGTGTTTCTAATGCAAACTGTTCCTTTTGTGTTTTACTTTATCGGGAATATACCATTTTATTGGGAATATTTAAAGTTTTTATCAGCAATATACCATTTTATTGGGAATATTCACAATTTGATTGAAAATATCTACATTTTACTGGGATTATTGACCACATAAAACCGTAGGACCACGTGTGACTTCAGCTCTCAAATCTATAACATTTCATTGGAGGATGTAGCAGCTAGGACACACAAGTAGCCATCGAACAAAGCAATAAGTATTTCATTAATTGTTAAGCTTTGGCAGGGTCAATTATTGTGTTTTTTATTCTTTTAAATAAATATGTTTGGTTAAAATTTGTTTTATTTGCTATCAAACTATCTATCAAACTATCTAAAACAAGACAAACTTACCCTTGAGATACTGAGCTAGGTAAGGTATAGACGATAAGGTTCCATGGTTGATTGAGGTATTATTTTTAGAATAGTACTTCAATTCTCTTTGGTAGTCTTATCGTTACAAAGTTAAGGCGCAATATGATCAATAAAGAACTTTCATTTAAATTTGATATAAGTGAGGCATTAGTTAGCCGTATATTTATCACTTGGATTAATTTTCTGTATTGTCAATTTCATCTGGGTACCACTTCCTCCTCCTCAATCCTTTAGCCCTTGTCAGGGCGTAGTGACACCCTAAATATTATTAGTCTGCTGTCTCCATTGACTGCGATCTTGTGCCATATGGACACACCATATATATATATATATATATATATATATATATATATATATATATATATATATATATATATATATATATATATTTTTCACCTGCAATGCTAGCGAACATCGAACACAAAACCAAGCAAATAATCAGGAAAGCCATAGAAATAGAAAAATATCCAAATAACCTAAACACTCGAGATGATGCCCAAAGACTTCCAACATGGAAACCAGCTCTGCAAAGAACCGTCCAAAAAAATTCAACTTCAGTTAACGCACAGAAAAAACAAACAGCGAGACCGCCAGACAAGGCCCCGCCCACTCGCACACAGGCAGGAGCAATCACAAGAGCCCGCGCGCCGCCGAGAGAGTATTTAAACGAGCGCCGAAATGCCCAGTCGACCAAGGCTAGTAGCTCAGAGTTCGACTCCAGCAGTCGAACAGTGCAGACGTGCCACAGCGAGAAGAGCGACACCGCCGAGGAGCTGCAACGACCAAGTCCGAGCTGAACTTGTTAGTTCAAGCCGTGAATGTAAGCACGGCAGCGGTGACTTGGCGTTAACAGCGCCTAGGGCTGAAAAACAGAGGCAAAACCTTACGTCGTAACTAGGTTAGCCGGGGAGATTTGTTTTTTAAATCAGATCTTCGCGGAGGCCAAAATTGCGGCGTAGGGAAGCGAAAAAGCATACGGGCTTTGCCCGTCGGGATACTCTCTGTGCCTCCGTTGGGATGACACTGTGGGATATAGTTTTTTAGAATTCTATATCTGGCAGACACGGCCCCAGGGTCAGAGAGTTGAGAAACGCAAGAGGATCCCCGCTCTAGTTCTGCCTAGAGCGTGAACAACGGCGTTAGGTCACTGGGTGGCACCCAGAATCTGTGCTGGCAACGGGCCAGACGGACGACAAAAAAGCCTTCGTTCAAATTTTTCAATTAGGCCCCGCCTCCAAATGGACCGTTCACGGTCTCCGCCGACCCGTAAGGCAAACCCCTCTACTCCCGATGGTTGCCGTGAGAGGAAACTCCACGGTAACATCTACACCGCGTTATCCCTAGATGCCACCGACGGAGAGACGACAAACTACGAGATCTTCAAGGAGCTCCCAGTAGATGACTGGGAAGACCACGCAACAGGGGAATTCAAACGCCCCAAGAACAAGAAGAAGAGGACAAAAGTCCATGCGGAGGGAAGCCGCATAGAAGAAACCACCGACGACGACGCCCCGAAAGCAGCTATCAAGAGGTCCAGAAAGAAAAGCAGCGAGGACGAAAAGTCCGAGTTGCAAACAATGAGGAAACTTCTCCAAGAGAAGGACAAAGAGATAGAGACTCTCAAGAAGAAAATTGATGAGTTACAAGAACACATCTTGAACTCTCAAAAGAAAATCATGGACCACATGGATAAGAAGTTCGAAAGTCTCGAAACAAACAAAACAAAAGAGGCAACCCTGGAAAAACAGGAGCAGAAGAAAAAAGAGGAAACCCTGGAAAACCAGGCCACAACCAAGAGGAAAGCTACGGGTGCAATTCCAAAAACCCAGGTAGCAAAAAACAAAAACCAAATGAGGAAAAGCCCAAAGAGGCACCGAAGAAGAGAGAAGATTTCCCTGCACTCCCCTCCAACAAACCCCAAGAAGGTGCACAGGATAGTGATGCGCAAGTTGATCGACACTCTCCAACACCGACACAGATGGACATAGAAGAAGTACCCAAGAAAACTTGGGTACCAAAGCCACCTGTAATTAAATTACAGAGTGTGAACTACACAGGGGCCATACTAAACATCGCCCAAAAAGAGCAGGTTATAACGAACAACAAACTGTCCAGAAGCGGCCGAGAAACGCTTATCCAAGCAAAAAGCCCTGAAGATTACAGGAAGATGGTTAAAATCATTGAAAAATTCAATGAGGAGACGAAAATCCAGTGGATAGCATTTCCACTGGAGGAGGACATAAAACCAAGAATGGTTTTAAGAGGGCTACCATCTTCAACAGACCCAAAGGGTATTCACGACGAGATATTGGAAGACCACAATATTGGAGTATTGTCGGTCAAGAATATGATATCGAGGAAACCCGACAAAAGGAACTTGCCAATGTTCGTTATGACGGTGGAACGAGAGGACGTGGAAAAACTAAAGCGCATCACTAACCTGATGCACATGAAAGTCAGAATAGAGGAGCTGAGAAAAGCAACAGGGCCCACACAATGCTTCAACTGCCAGGGCTACCACCACGCACAAAGGGCGTGCTTCAAAGCACCTCGATGTGTAAAGTGCGGCGAGGAGCATGAAACGAGGAGCTGCACGATGCCAAAAGAGCAGAAGGCAAAATGTGCCAACTGCAAAGGTCAACACCCGGCCAACTTCAGAGGCTGTCCCAGATGTCCAACCTGGGGCAGACAACAACAACAACAGAGACAAAGGCCAGTAACGCAAAGCAGGCCACAAACAGCTCCCACTGGGCTATCCTACGCCCAGGCAGCAAAACCCCAGGAGAATGAGAAAACCATCCTCATCTCGAAACAACATCAAGACGGCCTAGTGAACTCCGTAAAGGAACTACTCACTAGGGTAGTGAATGAAGCGATAAAAGACTTCAAGTTAGCACTGAACTAGTGCAAACTAATAGGGGATACTTGAGGATAGGCTCCTGGAATCCAGGGGGTATAAGGACCAACCAGAATATTCTGGACGAACTGGTCAATAGATACGAAATGAACGTCGTAGCCATTCAAGAAACAAAACTCACGAACAACGTTAATATCAAATTCCCAGGATACGACGTATATAGGAACGATAACACAGCGAGAGCAGGTGGCACAGCAATACTTGTGAAAAAAGGCATAAAACACACTAGATTATTAACACCGCAACTAGTAACTATGCAAGCCACAACAATAAGATTAGAAATGAGGCAAGGAGAAGTCAGAATTACCTCCGCCTACGTAAGACCGCAAGATCCGCTGATCGACGACGATCTAAATATGTTCCTAAACGACGAACCCTCTATCATCATAGGAGACCTAAACGCAAGATCCCCTAACTGGAATGATAGAGCTACGAACAGAAATGGAAGACTACTAAACGCGTACATAGAAAATAACGAAGAAGTCATGGCAATGGGCCCCACAGACCCAACGCATTACCCAGGTAACGCACTTCCAACGCATATAGACATAGTAGTTGCAAAAAACCTAGGACTACAAACAGAACTACAAACACTAAATGAAGGTACAACTGACCACAACCCCATCCTATTAGAACTAGGAACGTGGGAGGAAGAAAGCACAACCAAAAAGATCAAAAAGAAAACAAAGTGGACAAACTTCAAGAGACTCGTGAGCACCGGAATAAACATTGTCCCAGTGATAAACAATCCACGAGAAATAGAAGATAAGGTCCTAGAGTTGGAAAACATCATCCAACAAGCAATCAGGAATAGCACTACTGAACAGGAAGTAGTAATGCAAACGGGCAGATTCAAGGATATACCTCAAGTAATAAAAGACTTGATAAGGGAAAAAAACAGAGCTAAACAGACAGCAAGAAGAACAAGAAACCAAGCAGACAAAAACAGAGCAAATCGATTAAACAGAGAGGTCAAAACAGCACTACAACAACACCGTAGTGAAAGCTGGGAAAACCACATAAGGGACATGGAAGAACAAAGTCCAAATATGCAAAATATTTGGAAACTGCAAAAAATCCTACGAAGTGACAGAAAACCAATTCCCCCACTACACGGAGAAAATGGTATAGTATACAGCACAGAGGAAAAAGCAGAGGTAATGAGGAGTACTCTCGAGAGAGAGTGTACATTAAATTACCACCCAGACGAAGACATCGACTTCATAGAAGAAGTCGAAAGACAAAGAGAAAGACCGGAAAACCCAAACGAAATTATCCCTCCAACAACA